CCCCCCCCCCCCCCCACACCCCAACTATTGACAGCAAAAGATCTTGCCAGTTGGTGTGTTTAAGCTGCTTGCACTATATGCTAAGAATGTCACTGAGCGGTTTAGGGTCTGCTGGGGGAATAATAGTTTTAAAGCTCATAGGACATTCTGTAGAGCATGGATATGGGCTGTATAAATGCAATTATCATGATAATTACAATGCAGGTTCTGTGTAACTTTTTGTGTTGTACACTAGAATATATCGCCATTGTCTGGTCTGGATGTGAGAATGGCACCTCGAAGATTGCAAAATGTTAATTCAGCGTCACATTGATTAAACTCCATTGAAAGGTAAGGTAAAGGCCAGCCTTTTTTTAGACGGGCGTTGGTGCTAAGGGTGCAATGTCCACATGTCTTTTTTATACAATCATGTAGTTTTGGAATTCCTTTCTTTTTGGTCTTGAGGGCCACTTCTTGCTATGTATTCTTTCTCCCAAAGCATATTAAAGGTAAAGACCTAGGGGATGGTGTCAAAGAATTGTTGTAAGCATCATTATGTTTTACAAATTGGAATCTTATTCTTTTTTGTTTAGATTTCATTTGCCTGTATATATTTGCATTTGTCTTTGGGGGTACCATTCATATTTTTTTTACATTTAAAGTAGGCCTACAAGTATTGAACTATTTATATGCTTTACCTTAAAAATGAAAGTGAACTGGTTTTTTATTCTTGTTGTTGGAATGCCTGTTTTATTTATGATAATTGTGAGGATAAACTACTTTTTTCCTGTTGCTGTAATAAGAATCTTTTCAAAAAATTATTTTGCAGAGGTGTTAGTGGATGAAGACCCCTATGGGCCTGAGATGAGACAATACTTGAACTCGTCAGACATTTATCTGCATGGGGAGGTGGATGGAAATACCAGCATTGATGGTCAAGGCAGTATACGGTCATTCCTCGCTCCATCAACCTCAAAGTCTGGCCCAGTGACAGGTACAGAGCTTGCTAAAAGACACTTTGTCATTATGTCTGGAAAAAGACTTAAAACTTGTTCAGTATTTATAGTCATCGTATTATTGAATACTCTTTCTAAGTTTCTTTCACCTGAAATTCCACAATGCAGTCAAAGGTGCCGATTTTCTTGATAAATCTGGAAATCCAAATTTCTTGAATTGTCTACTTGGTTGTAGTAATAATTAATTATCTTTCTGTGTGTACATTTATTTATATGTAGGTCTCTTTGTGTGTGTCATATTGAATTTTCTCTTAAGTTAGACTTGATACAAGATTTAGTAGACAATATGATCCAAAAGTTGTGAGACACTGCATGTGCGTTTTTCAGGGTCCAAAAATGTTAAGGATCTTTTCATAGCCAGTTATCATTTATCATTGCTTTGCCTTTGCGGCACAGGGGGAAGATACATTGATTTATTTTCCTTGAGAACAAGAAGACCTCCTTAAGGATAGCTACTTTTATTGTCTTTCTTATGGTGTCTTATTCTTGTCATCTGGGGAAAGTTTTGTATTGTTAAAGGAAGGATATCTTTGAAATAGTTAAGAAGGCAAAGTATGATTAATTTATCCTTTAACATCCCTGCACATTTTCTGAAAGTATCAGTGGTAAAATTGCTGAACAGGTTTTCTTAAACAAATCAAATGTTCATATTTCTGCCACAGAGATTGACGAAGATGATTCCCCAAAGGGAAGCAGCACAGAGGCGACTGAGGGGAGGAGAGAATTTGTCAAAGAAAGAGCCTCAAGTTTGTTTACAGAATGTGGGACTGGTGAAAACTCTGAACAAAGTTGTCAGGGCACAAGCAGTTCTGGTGTTCTGGGAAAAGGCCAAAAAGTCAAGTCAAAAACTCGAGGAAAAAACATCTATGGTACAAAGGCTGTGATGAAAGTTGGAAAGGGGAGGAAAGGAAAGGGAAAACAGACGAAAGGAGCCACTTACGTAGATGGTTCTGAGGAGTTACAATGTGTGAAAAAGAAAAAATCATCATTGTTTCAAATGTTGGAGTCAATAGCGCCTAGCCCGGGCGGTAGACAAGACTGTGATGACTTTGAGGAGAATGATGTCGTTGAGGTGTTTGGTGACGAGGATGACAAAGACAAAACGTCACACCATAGAAAAGATGTGAGTGAGAAAGAGCAAAGCTTGACAGTCGGAACGTTGAACGTAAATGATGCAGAAGCTGAAGGTGCAGATGTAGTTCTGTGTTCCCCACCGGCTGTGCCACAGAAAGCTGAAAAGACCTCTTCAAGTTGGGAGACCAATCTTTCTAGTCAAATGGGACGCTGTACAGTTTTGAATAAAGACAGGCAAAAGTGTGATATTTTTGTGCCCTGTGTTCCCTCTCCTCCCGATCTCGACGAAGTACAAGAGCTAAAAGAGCTTCTCCTTGATGTTAAGTCTGGGTCGGATTTTCGGAATGTGGATTTAGAAAAAATGATGTCAGAATGGGAAGTGACAGAAGGAATGAATTGTGAGAACAAAGAAAGACAGAGACTGTTTTCCAGTTTAGGTAAGTTGGATTGTCGGGAGGAAGAGGAAATACCAAAATGTTCTCGTGGAGATTTAAATATCTCATATGAAGCTGAAATGCTGAAATCTGTCTCCTCTTTTCGGAAAAAATTGCCAGTGTCTGATCTCACATCTGCTGCTTCTACATTTATTGACAGTGAGAGAGAAATAATGTCTTTGAGAGGAAAACCATGTGATAGGGATGGGGAAATATGCATGGAGTCAGGAGATGAAGGCAGTGAGTGTGAACTGTCCAGCCCGAGCTCTGCTGCTCCGACCTCAATCCTTCCTGTTAAAAGTGTCCACAGCGGCATTAAAAAGCCGAAAGTGATGAACGAGAACAAGAGGAAATCTGTTACATTTTGTGAGGAAACATCTGTGATTCCGATCAGTGCTGCAGAAGACATCTTGAAAAAAGATTCTGAGAAATTCAATGTAGAGACAAAGCCTGCTTGTGGTGCGGTTTCCTCAGAATTAGATGATGATATGTTCGAAGATATGTCGGAACTTTTTCACTTAAATTTTGATGAACTGGACGAGCCTCTTCCCGGAACTGAAGACGAAAATTTGGATGAATTGGACAATGTCACAGGTGCCAAAAAGGGAGAAGTGAATTTTCCAGAGCTGGGTGGTCTAGACCCGAAGTTGAATAAAGAAAATTTTGGCGAGTTTGATGATACTGACCCTGAAGTTGTTGAAGACAATTGTGATGAGGTTGAAGAATCAAACTTCATTCTGGAAGAAGAAAATGTTGATAGATTTGATGATACTGACCCAGAAGTTGTTGAAGAAAATTGTGATGAAGTTGAAGAATCAAACTTCAAGCTGGTAGAAGAAAATTTTGATGGGCTGGATGAGCCCATGATGGAAGAAGAAAGAAGAGAAGATTTTCAAAGCCACACATCTGGGGCCAGGAGAGGGAAGTTAGCCGGGCTGTCCTTGAGACAGGTAGTGTCCGAGCCAGCAGTGCAACCTTTAGAAACAAAGGAAGGTTTGAATGTGAGTGGGTGTCAAAATGCTGATCGCAGTCACAATCATTCTCAGAGTTTTTTTACCTTCTCTCAGGCCCTGTCGGTTCTGAATGTTAGTAGCTCTGAGGACAATCCAGCCTCTCATTCTCCGCCGCTCTCATCAGCTGAAAGTCAAGCAGGCAAAGTCACCCCTTCCGTCTCACCTGCAGTAGGCTCAAGAGCATTGAAATCACAATCACGCTATCGCAATGATCGTGTCTCTCAGCTGCTTTCACCTAGTGCAAGACTGTTGAATGAGGACAGACTCTCTCATCTGCAGTCGCCGAATGCCAGACAAACCAATAATGCCAGAAGCTCTTGCTTGCAATCTCCAAGTGGCAGCTTATTTAATCATGACCAACTCTCTCGTCTGCAGTCTCCAAGAGGTAGACTGTCTAATCATGACCAGCTCTCGCATCCGCAGTCTCCTAGTTCCAGACTAACTAAAAAAGATAGACGCTCTCATCAGCTCTCACCCAATGCAAGACCGTCAGATAATGATAGACCCACTTATCTGCAATCTCCAAGTACAGGGCGATCTTCTGGTGAGAGACTGTCTCATCTACACGTGGGCTCACCGTCACCAGAGTCAGCACCAGAGGGCTTAGAATTTCCTAACCAGAAGGGCAATCGTCTCAAAGACGTGGAAGATGTGACTGCACTCAGTGAGGAAGACTCGGACAGCTTGCCCCACTTTGACCTAGGCTTTGATCTGGACGATGAAGTAATCCCTCCCACCCCAGAAAAAATGTCGTCTTCGTCATTGATGAAGAGTGCTTCAGCCAGTTACAAGGCGAAACGGTCATTTGACCTCTCTAAAGAAGTGAACCAGTCTGACCTTGCACTCTGTGCCTTGTCAGAGAATACCTCGTGCAAGCAAAGTCCAGTAGCAATCTCTGGATGTGACCCTCATAGCAGTACCTCTGACATCTTTGATTTGCCACGATCAAACAGCGAGGCCTCCTCATCCATAAAAAGAGCGAGGACATCATCGGTGGCTATAAATGACAGAGAAGTTGGTTCTCAAAAGTTGACATCAAATGTTGAGACTTTTTCTTTACGGATTGCAACAAAGGTATCTGTTAGTATAAATGATACTAAACAAGAAAAAAAGAGCTATGCCTCAAAATTTGACTTCAGTTCATCTTTTGAGCTTCCCACAGATATTCCTGAAGAATGGGATTGGGAAGTAAGCTCAAAAGCAAAAGACGAGAAAGATAAAGAAAACCAACCTTTTTCCGACTCCTGTTCTTCGTTTGATTTTCAAGACGAAGTCAAAGAACCTCTTCAGGATGTTAACTCAAAAACAAAAGACCATGCAAATGAGCATCAAGCTGCTTCAAGCATGTCGGCAGAGAAAACCTCAGAAAAAGAATTCTTAGGTTCGAAAAGTTGTGTTCAGGAAACATCGTTGTCTCCATGCTTGAAGTCTCCTCTGAACAAGCAGTCAGATACGGACAAATTGATGCCATTGTTTTCTCAAAGTGCTGTGCCTAAGCGCGGAGGTCGTCCCAGCCTTCTGGATGTCACTGTAATCAGTGACGAGGACAGTTTGGACTCTTTTCAGGTCATGGCTGTGCCATTGTCCAAAGATCAACCGCGTAAGTTGACTTCTTCTCAGGGGCTTGATGACTCTCCTGGATGGCTGAGGAAGTCCACTAAACTCTCTCTCGCTGCAGAAAAATCCTGTAAGCAATCTAGTTTTCAAAATGGAGATCAGGAAACAAAGTTAAGACAGACAAAATTGCGGCTTGGGAAAAGGAAGGATAAGAGCTTCGAAGAGTCGTCACAGCACAGAAGAAAACTTTTTGCCCGGGGTCATGATGAGGTGAGCACTGGAGAATCAAGGTTAAATGATTTGTCTGTACAGGCATGGCAAAGTGAATCTCCTGAGGTCTCAAACAGCAGGCAGGGTCTTTCTCAAAATACAAAAGGCAGCTCTCAGAATACCAAAACCAGCTCCCAGAATACCAAAAACAGCTTTAAAAATGCTGACAACAGCAGGACTTTTGGCTCAAAATCAGGAATTGAAAGCAGAGAAATGGAAGAGGTGTGTGCTGCGGAGGTCAGGCGAGTCCATGGAGTGGGTTCCAGCACACCACTGCGTCACACAAGTGTGTCAGCGAGCTCTGCTCACCTGCAGCTGACACCGATCAAGTTAGTCCCAAGTGAAGGTGAGGCAATTTGTGTGAGGTTTGACAGAAACCTTTGTTTATTTCACTGTCTCTGTCTCTTGCTCTCTCTTTCTCTCTCTCCCTCTCTCTCTCTCTCTCT